CTGAAATTATGGCATGTAGAGCTGTGACTGAAGTGTTTCCAAGTTTTCCCAACTCCACTGGATTCCCACGGGGTTAGATCGAATCTATTCAGTGTTCATTTTATCTCATTCTCATTTCATGTGAAATCTGCCCTACATATATTGCATCGAAGTCTGAGAATTTTATTTAATGAGCTAAATTCGATTATGAATCCAGAGGAATTTTCTTCTTCGCATGAACTTAGTTGTAGTGCCATGTGTTCGATAGTTTGAAGTGTAATACTGGATTTGTTGAGTACTCTCCTAATCTCATTTGAGGTGTGTGATGCGAATGGGGTGGTGACTATTGTTGTGGTGTATGATTGAGGAGCACTTTTACGATCTAATTTCACTAAATAAACAGTCTTCATTACGGTAGTATTCATCCTGGACTGACAGTATTCGGAGAACCATTGGAAACCTGGGGGTAATGGGAAGCTGTTTCGTTCTACTACGGAACTTCTCAGGAGTACGCACCCATGATCCAGTTAGGGATCGAACTCAGGGCCTTCAAACTTCACTGTGAACGCGTCAAACATTAAATCACTTGGTTGGAATCCAGTTTCCAACAGTTGCCTACTTCTGTCAGTTCTCAACAGGGTGCGACTATCACCCAAGGTATTCATCTGGCATCCGCTTCACTTTCTACTCAATGACTCTATAGATCATGGCTTCTCATCCCTAACCGGGTCATGTGTGTGTACCGGTGAGGAGTCTCAAACCAGGAGAAAACAGGTATCCAGTGCTCTCAGGTTTTCAACTGTTCTCTAAATGATGTCAGTCCGTGATGTATGCTACCTTATAATCCCCGCTAACCTCAAAATACAATCCTCATTCTAATGTGAAAAAAGCAGGACTTAATGAATTCATAAATTTCAGTAGTACTCATCAGCTGGATGATACTGTACATACTTGATTGTATGTACCGTTAAACTGTGGAAAAGAACATACATGCATATATACCATGCGCATATAGCGTAGACTGAGACAGATTTAGGTGTAGCAACATAGAAGTGAACAGTTTTTTAACGGGTAGAAATGGGTATTCAAAATTGAATGGGTTGAGTATAGGTTAACTGAGTTTGGATAATCGTAGATTTCAGGTAGGAAAATAATTATAACCTGGTGGCCGCTACTTCGAATCCGGCCGCGGCCCAGGTTTTCATCTCACCTTCAATCATCATCCAGTTCATATAATAACAATAATAATAATTTGGTAGGTTGTGGCCATCAAAATAACTCAGAACGCGTGCTTCACGCTATCTGGGACCCATCAGCTGAACGTATTTGCACCCCGTGTTGTTGTTCTTACTGAGACTCGAACCTGGCGCGTATCACTTTAAACGCCAAGGCGAAATCCACTATGCCACATAGGAGCGCTAGCCGCTTCTTGTAGAACGGGCAATAGTTATTACTATTTATTGACATGCTTGTTATTCTCGGTTGTTTTGTTGGATCGAATTGTTCGACTTCTACTTGCATATAATAATGTTGACACATGGGTGAGAACTGAATCAATTGTGCGTAGATCACGTCATTGAAAACAAGACAGTAAATAGTACCTATGCAGATATAACAAGAAAACCAGGTGTCTATTGAGATGAATAATAATGATAACAATGGTGATAGAAATAAAGTTAATTAGGCGAAAGGAATCAAGGAAGGAAAACAAAATATCAGATGGGTGATAATTAAGAGCTAAGAACAGAACAAGTAAAAAAGATTAAATATGATTCGACAATGTTGTAATTTCTACCATAGCAGATTCAAGCTGACTACCATTTCCTTCTGAATACAGAGGTTCGGTTTGACAATTCGAATAGTGCAAGCTTCTGTAGGCTTCTTACCCGTAAAAGCTATTCACTTCTATGTTGTTACACCTAAATCTGTGTCAGTCTACGCTATATATGTATGTATATGTGCTCCTTTCCATTGGTTAATGGTATATATATAATCAAGTATGTAGAGTATCCAGCTGACGAGTACTACTGAAACTTATGAATTCATTAAATCCTACTTTTTTCACATTCATTACTTGTTTTTAAATTCGTATCGGGAAATAAATGTTTTCAATTTTCATTTGGACATCACAAAAAGATTTTAATGAATAAAATTTTTCTTTCTGATGATTTTATTTTCAAAGTTGTATAAATCTACAATTATAAAAGTTGAAATAGACAATAACGAGCAACAACATAAGTAACAAAATTTGTTTGTGTATATGTGTATTTCATTTTTACAATAAGTCGAATTGTAAAATGCATATTAACACGATCATATTTAATGAACTATTAAATTATAAGAGACTATAGATGAAATAAAAGAGGCGAATGAGTGAATAAATATGATGTGATTTCATTCAAAAGTAGCTGAGTGAAAACTAGGTGAAACAGTTAAATGGGATATCATAGAGATTAAAAGATATGAATCTGTTATGATGAAATAAAATGGACTAGAGAAGATAGGGAGCGTACAAACTGTTTCTTGACACATAGTTCTCGTTTAAGATTGTGTATCGCCAATGCTTCTGGGATATAAGTTAGGTGAGTCAATCCACCTTTCGATAAGTTTGATTTAATCCTTTAAATAATGTCAAATGGTGGGTGGAAATTGTATCTAAGTCTAATAAATAAGAAACAGTATCTAGACTGTCATAGATTGGAGTTCTATTGCATAAAGAACTGATGTGATACCTTACTATAGTTTCATCTTCTTCCATTTGAAATGAAGAAATTTTGAACTTACAGTCAAACTATTCCCTACTGTGTATTCTGAGTGTCTTCGTAGGAGTTTGAGTAATGAAACCGGATATTTAGAAAGGTTGTTTATTGGTGTGTTGGTAAATTCTACAGTCGGTCTCAATGGAACGGAAGTTCTTTGAATTTTAGATATGTATGAATTTTAAAGACATGTAAAACTTAATTTTCAGTCTGAAATAAACTGAGCTGCTGATTTTAAGCATCAGTTCTTGAAGTAGTCCATTTGTGTTGACTTTCATTTTATTCAGTTCGGGAGTTATTCTCTTTTCTATGGTTGTTTGGATGGGTGTTCACTAACCTTATTCTTATAATCTGTTCCGATCATAATGACAGTTATATTCCCTCATCTGGTTCTCTTGATAAAACGTTCTTTGATCTTCTTCACAATTTAAAGGGTTTTGAATTTTTTGTTTAATGATGTTAGAAATTACTTTCCTCTGAGTTGCGAGGAAGTAGGAAAATGAACATTTAGGTATGAAAATTTCAATAAAAGCAAGATATTGTAACAAATATTTAGATTTCAATACATCGCATTGCATCAGTACCAATATCTTCGTTATCTGAGGTCTTTTAAGGAGGCCATATAATCGAATAACCGATGGAAATGAAAGAGTTGAGGAATCAAGATTCGTAAAAACAGTAATTAAACGGTGAGATTTGTTTGATAACTAGAAGGAGAGATTAAGTTATATCATAAAAGGGCTCCTAAATCATAGACCCCAGATATCGATTCAATAAATGCAGGGCAGATTTCACATGAAATGAAAATGAGATAAAATGAACACTGAATAGATTCGATCTAACCCCGTGGGAATCCAGTGGAGTTGGGAGAACTTGGAAACACTTCAGTCACAGCTCTACATGCCATAATTTCAGGTTGGAGAGATGACTTTGACAGAACTGAAGTTATTCAGCAAGGTTTCAGAAATGATAAGGAACATCTCGTAGCACAATCTCTTTATATAATGTGTGATGAAAACTGTCAAAATATGAGTGGAGGGATGAAACATAACTTGACGTAGCTTCATTCAACCGACTCGCACACACTTACGTCACCGACATACGTTCAGTCGGAACTAGCAACACATGCGTATGTGTATACAATTTTCATTTTTAATTTACACGTTGTATTACATCACATCATCACAGACCACATGCTATATTTGGAGAGCAGCTTTGTTGAACAATTTGACACAGATGCAGAATTATTTCTCCAGAGGAGGTCATATGGAGTTATCATCTATATAATCTTAGATATTGTATGTTCTGGTTAATCGTAACTTTTATTTTGTTTCTTGAACTATCCCGTCCTTAGTTTCTTCGAAATAATCAGTCTCTCGGCTTATAAGCTCTTAGGGGATGCCTCGATGCTGCCTGTATTTCAGTTCTATAATAATAATGAATAGTGGATGGCAGTGGAATCCAGGGCACTCGTTTCGTACTATTTGAGACCCTCAGCTGGATTTACCTACATTACACTTGGTGATTTTTCGCCCCCTTCGGTTCATGACCGTCTGTTCTAAATGGAAGCGAAGTGATGTCTAGATCGTGCGTCCCAGGGTTCGAGTTTTAGTGGGATCTACACCACTCACTCACTTGGATGCCAATGGATCTGGCTGATGAGTCTTATGTAGGAGGAAACGTGAGTCCTGGATTGTGCTGCAACCTGCTATTCTTCCTTAATACAACTTCAGCTTCGTTAAGACATTTAGCAGTAAATAGCGAAAAGTTATTGTAAACAATTCTATTTTGTTTTACAGACATTAGGAAAAACTTATGCTGAATTAGTGATTGCCGTTTAACTAATGACGACTATTTTTTCAATGCATCAAATTCTAGTTTCGTTTTGACATTTCTATCTTGAATAGTTCAGTTTGCTGTGCATATCTACGACATCGTTAATAAATTCTTCTTGAACTTATGTTGTATGAAATATATTATCATCATCATCAACTTGTGATTAGTAGATATTTGTTTGCAATGTTTATTTCATTAATTTCAAAAAAATTAATCAAATTGTGCAGAGTGATTTAAATTAATATTCACTCAATGACAACTTCACATGCACTAATTTTAAGCCAACAGAAATCAACACTAGGAGTAGCTAATCTATAAATTTAGCAAAAATTTCATTGGTTAAAAATAGTCTCTTTTTTCATTGGTCATCTCTTCCCGAGCTGACATTTTTAAGGCATGCTGTTTGAATTTTGAAACAAGTTAAAACTTTGACTAACCACTTCATGTTCGTATCTGCCGTCTTTGACATTTACTCAACTATGCACTTACTGATGCAATTTTCGATGTTAAAACGACTACTGCCAATCAATTTCTAATATTATCGACCATGAAATTCAATTTTGCCTGGATTTTTGCTTGATTAAAGTGTTCTCTATGAAAATGGATCGTATACCTATGAGATATCATTATATTTTAGCTATCATGTTTGTTATTCTATGGATGTATATTTTATATCAAATTAAAATCTCATCATTAATTGTTTTGAATGCTGAATTCGATGGAATCTGTGAGTACAAAACAAAGGTGAGCAGATCTAAGCCTTAAAAAGAATTGATAAATGAACTGTTTTGATTAAAGTAGTCCCTTAGATGTTTGCTTACTCATTCTTGGTGAATTCCAAACATGAACAGTCTGGAAAGGGGGGGGTGGTGCGATTCCATAGAATGTACAGTCTAAAACTGATCTTACAATTAGGTTATGAAGTGGTCTGTCCTTGCAGAAGGAAGCTATGCTCTCATTTCCGATGAGAAGGAGGATGATTTTTGGGGATCCAAATTTTTATCATTCAGTAGCAAAGTTAGAGGCTGCAGCAGCATTTTCTACGAACTATGACTAATTGTCTGCAGGATTAGTTAATGTGCATAAATTGGTGACCAGTTGCGTAAGGCGTCAGACAGTTAGAAGATGTACATCGTTTGCTTGATGGGACTATTCAGCAAGGTATGTCTATTAATTCTGATCAACATTCAAAGATCTGCAGTTTACTCTGGTGTAAGCAGTGCATGTGTTTCTAATTACTTAATCAGAGATTGAGTAAATTCTGTATCATTATTCTTGTATCGTTAGACAAACGTGGATAACGTATGAAAGAAGGGTTCCATGTGTTCAACGAAAGCTTTTTCCTCAAAGTACTATTTACCTTATTGAAATTAGACGAACAGAAATTCCTGGTGTAAATGTAGTTGTGGAAAAAGCAGGCATACCAGTTATTGAAGTTCAGAATCTGGATAGGATGGATGGAGTTTGTGTTATTCCTGTGGAATCACCAATCACTGCAATAGTTGAGGAAAAGCTGGGAAGGAAAATGATCAGATTCTAACACCACAAGCCAAATTTCAATTCATAAGATCACTGATTTTTGGCCTAGAAGATATGCAAACTGCTTGACTGTGTTCCTTGGAACGTGACAAATAGACTGTTGGAGATACTAGATGGAATGTACTGGCTCTCTAAATCCACTTCAATCTCCTCTTAGTACAGTCGAGTTTTGATTTTGATTTGTGTGTTGGTTTAACAAGTAGGGAGCTGGAGTAAATCGTTTTATAGTGACCTTCTCTCTTTTGAACGACTAATTTGATTGAACAGACTTAAGCCAAGTAAAAAAGGACTAGCAGTTAGGTATTTTTCAATTTCCACTCCAACAACAGATCAAGCTGATTATTTTATGCAGAATGCATGGTTCACGTTGGCACTTCCTAATTGGTGTGACAGATTTTGCTATACTAGTCAGACTGATGGCAATTTATTGATTCACTTCATAGTGCAGTGCTTCATTGAAGTCGTTTAGTCAAGTTCAGTTTCCCGGAAAGAACTGCCTCTTTCAGCTGATCTTATCCAGATATTTTTCTGGTGATTTATGCCTTGAACCAGTGAAGTTGATGATGAATGTTCTAAGTACTTTAATGTGATGAGTCATACTTAGTTTCAGACAGAGAGACTAATTATGGGATTTGGCACAAATTGTAACACTTCAAGTTATCACGATTCACAGCTGGATGCAAATAACAAGTGGACAGAAGACGAAGGACGTTAATACAGTCAAAATTGTATGGGAACTAAGAGAATAAATAGATGAAAATTAATAAGAATTCACAGGACCTCGAATACAACACAGCGTGCATACATCACCAATCGCACCGATTTCGAGCTATATCACCAAGGGTGGTCAACCAATACATTTTTATCATCTCCAGAACTCAAGCTATGGTGTCTTACCTTTCCACATGACTCAGAAAATCAGTCGGTGACTCTAAGGATTACTATCATGTCTTGGCCTTTAGCTTTCTTCTAACTTAATCCTACTTTTGCTGGCATCTTGTGTTGACTCGGTTGGCGTGACATATGCTGCTTAGTATTATTTTAAAGGGTTGATTAACTAACAGTGTCCAGGTGACTAGAGATCTCCAGTGGTATAATCTATTGCTGTACCGAAAAGAATAATTGATGACACTAGTGAAACTTGAGACCGAACTCTTCACCAAAATTACTGATTATGACCTTTGAGCTTGAGAACAAAAAGATGTTCCCTTCTAGTTCAGAAATAAACTGTAGATTAAAAAAATAGAATGACTGTGGACCGATCTTGATGTTTAACTTCAAAAACGTTATGTACAAACCTCTAAATTATGATATTTTAGGATTTCGGAATTTCATGTGCTCTTTCTAATCTTGTTAGTGGGAAACCATAAGGAAGGGGATGCTTTATTCAGGAAGAGATGAATGAAAAGTAGGTGACTTAAAGAACACTGTCACAACTACTGAAGCAACCTATTAGGATTCTGTACTTCATCGAAAAAAGTGACCTTTCCAACGGGAATTAACAGACCGAATTAGTCATTACATTAATTGTAAGCATGACCAATCGATACGTTCTAGAAAACCATGATCATGAGACAGTGCTAAAGTTGTGTTTGAGCTTAGAAGCACAAATCCTTTGATCAAAGATTTTCAACAGAATATACCACTGTAAAAGTGTGGATGACATTTTACTGTAACTGAAATTCCAGTATATCTATAGCACCTTGACATATAAATTTAATGATAGACTGGATCCAATTCATATTCAAGTAAGGAAGTGAACAGACAAGGAGAACGAGTTATCTTAGATTATGAATCAAAAAGAGGAAAATATAGTGGCTTGTATACTTGTAACTGCAGAAAATCACTGGATTCCAATAGACTCTTTACCATCTCACGCCAGATCGTTAAACATAGATTCGGTCAAATATTTCAGTAGAGTTTCAGTAGTTAGTTAAGACATTGAAATAAGTAAATAAAACACATAGACCAAACTTGTGCTACTCAATAACTGTCCCCATCAATTTATTCAGCAGTTCATACAGCTTCATAAGAAAAGGGGAAGTGAAAATGTGAACTGTGATTACAACTCAACCAAAGAATTCAAAGCCTCAATAACGCCAACATATGTGTGGCATTCTATTTTACAAGTCCATTCAGACAGAAAAACTGTCAGCTAGAAAATTCTATTTACCTAATTAGATTGAATGATTTAATTCACCGAATACTTTGAAACTTATAATGAGATGAAGTACATAGGTCATACCAACTGATCAGGGTCCATCAGGTTTTCAAAATCTATAATCTTGGCTAAATCTAGAACGATAAACCCTATTAAGATTGATAATTTACTGGACAACTCAATCACTGCTAAACATCTATTCATATACAGACACAGAACAGAACTGAAAGGAGTAACAGTCATTTAAATGCTGGAAAAGTTGATCACCGAATCTAACTCCGACGAATTACCATCGAGTATATGCAATAATAATAAATCAATGCTTATTTGAGTTTAATACTGGTGATGGATAGTGACTAGCAGTGGGATCCAGAACACATATTTTGTCCTATTTGGGACTCCTCAGCTGGATGTAACTGCCTTCCGGTGAGCTTTGTTGTCCCCACTCTGTGGCCTAGTGCATAACGCTCTGGCGTTTGAAGTGATCGGTTCCGGGTTTCATTCTTAGTGAAAACAACATAGCACACCGGGAGGCAGGAACGTCTGGTTGATGAGTTCGAAATAAGACGAAATGCATGTCATGGATTCCACTGCTGGCCACTATCCATCATTAATATCAAAAGTGAAAAAACAGGCAATATCGAATGATCCGCACACTAGCCCATACGCCAATAGAGACCGATCAATTCAGTGCAGTCAACAACAGGATAATGCAAGCAACATCATAGTAATTCTAGTTGTTTGGAAACTCTTACCACTATGAAGATCAAAAAGACTGAGAAATAGATGGATGTATAAAAACCACACCTGAAAACTGTATGATTAGATGCAATAAGTTGTACTTGAAATGTCATGCAGTAAATTATGCTGTACAACTGTGTATTTATTAAGTGAAATAATTGTGCAAATCATGTCAGGAATATAAATCATTTCGAACTCTTAATGTCTTTGTATGAGTTACGTGCCGATGGAAGTGAGTGTGGTTGTGTACCTGGTGTATTATGTCTCACAGTCAATCACAAAGACACAGGTGCGCTCATGTACTTGATCCTATCCTACACAGGGTCAGTCCTGGAGTGAATAGTCGAATCCGTGAGTCAATGAATTCAGCACTGAATGATTCTAATGTTGGAATCATCTAGAGAAAACTCGCCTGCTCATTGTTGCAGACACACCTTGTTGATGAGTGCCTACAAGTATGAAAGCTGAGTCAGGCAGAGATTCCTGTCAGTTGACCCCAGACATGTAGTTCTCGTACTTTTACTTGAATAGTGATATCATATTGTTTGTTGTAAGGCCCCAGTTGTGCATAAAACATTGTTGTTGATCTGAACATTTTTAGCTTATCTTTTTCACACCATTTCACAGCATGACTATAGTTTGTTTTCTGATTCCATTTGTAATGTAATTCGCTGATTAGTTAATCCTTACTCCTACTATGTTAATGCCCCAATTTGCGGACAAGGTCATATTTCATGTGTATACATAATCAAGTGTTTTTGGATTCATCAATTGATTAATATGCTCGGAGGAATAAACCCTCCCATTCAGCTTCGGTCTTGTTCTTTATTCGTCCCAGGTTGCAGTAGGTGGCTGTTGCGTACAGAGTTATCTGACAGTTAAAAGTGCGTATAATATCCATTCAGAATATATAATATGTATTTATTCATTCTCTTTATCTCCTTTCTTGTTTGTCTAGTAATATCTTACCACCATGAGTTATATTATTGTCACTGATTTTCTTACTCTTGCTTCATCTCCTTTCCTCGTATCTTTATGTGTTTATGCGAAGCGTCATGACTTGAACCGTGACGTATCGATATTAGTTCCTTGTTGTCATTGCCTGACTGGTTGTTCTTTTCCCATTTTGATGTGCAGATGCGAAGTTCTCTAACCTGGAGCGATGCATAGTAAAGACTGGTCACACACTGGTTGTGTGGATGTGTCCGTTTGTCTCCAACCTGCTCAATTCAAGAATCTATTCCTTTAACATGTGACAAATGAGCATAAGTCCTAAGTTTGTGCTGTGTTCCACACATTACGT